TGCAGGTGGGCTTGGGGAGGAGAAAACCGGCCTTGGGATACGACTAGGTGACTACCTTTTACTTATGTATTTTGCTGCTGTGTGGCATGTAGGTTAACTCCAACCCCAGCCCTCTTATCTCCAGTGGACTTTGATGGCCTTTTTGGGCCACAGCGTGATTGCACACATTTGTAGATACACAAATGATCAGAAAATCCTTAGACGCAGGTGTAGCAGTGGACGTAGTCTTTCTGGACTTTAGGAAGGCCTTCGACGCTGTCTCTCACCCCATTCTCATTAAAAAACTAGGGGACTGTGGCCTCGATGCCTACACAGTCAGATGGGTCACTAACTGCCTGGAGGGCCGCACCCAGAGAGTGGTGGTGGACGGGTCTTATTCGACCTGGAGGGGTGTGGGCAGTGGGGTCCCCCAGGGCTTGGTCCTTGGGCCTGCACTGTTCAACATCTTCATCAGCGACCTGGACAAGGGGGTAAAAAGCACCTTGTTCAAATTCGCAGATGACACTAAGAAGTGGGGGGAAGTGGGCACGCTAGAAGGGAGGATTAGGCTGCAATCGGACCTGGACAGGTTACAGGGGTGGGCGGATGAGAACAGGATGGGTTTCAACACTGACAAGTGCAAGGTGCTGCACCTGGGGAGGAAGAACCAGCAGCAGACCTACAGGCTGGGGAACTCCCTTCTCGTCAGTGCAGAGGCAGAAAAGGATCTTGGAGTCGTTATTGATGCCAAAATGAACATGGGCCGACAGTGTGGGGATGCAACCAGGAAGGCCAACCGCACCTTGTTGTGCATCCACAGATGCATCTCGAGCAGGTCCAAGGAGGTGATCCTCCCCCTCTATGTGACACTGGTCAGGCCGCAGCTGGAGTACTGTGTCCAGTTCTGGGTGCCGCACTTCAGGAGGGATGTGGACAGCATGGAGAGGGTCCAGAGGAGGGCCACCCGCATGATCAGGGGACAGCAGGGCAGGCCCTATGAGGAGAGGCTATGGGACCTGAACCTGTTCAGCCTCCACAAGAGAAGGCTGAGGGTGGATCTAGTGGCCGTTTATAAACTAGTCAGAGGGGACCAGCAGGCATTGGGGGAGTCCTTGTTCCCCCGAGCACTCCCAGGAGTGACTAGAAATAACGGTCACAAGCTGGCAGAGGGTAGATTCAGGCTAGATATCAGGAGGTGCTACTTCACAGCCAGGACGGCTAGGATGTGGAACCAACTTCCAGGAGAAGTGGTGCTGGCTCTTTAAGAGGAGGCTGGATGAACACCTTGCTGGGGTCGTTTGACCCCAGTACTCTTTTCTGCCATGGCAGGGGGTCGGATTTGATGATCTGCTCAGGTCTCTTTCGAACCTACCAACTATGAAACTAATATGCTTTTAAACCAAAAAGTCAGTTTAAACTACCTGCCTCTGCCCCAGCTGAAATCAAACCCAATAAAAGCCCAGTGCCTCAGCACAGTACAGTTTTAGCTCAGTATGAACAGGGGGTGGAGTAGCAATCAGTATGAGATGGAAGCTGATACATTAGTGCCTTTTAGAAGTGAGCACCCTTTCTCAGGCAAAAGTCTCACTGACTTTTGACTGAGCAAAGACCTCAAGGTCTGGCTCATGGGCGAAGCTGGGAATCTGGTAATTGGCATGAATGGGGCAGGATTTCAGCCCCTATCTTTCTTTTCTGGGATGGGTACAGGTTGTTTCAACATTTTAATCTTCTTACTGACTCCTCCAGAATTGTAAAATCTAATCTGGCCTCCAATGAATGACACTATTTTTGCCAATGAAACCAAACCTCACTCAGCTGCCTGGTGAAACTGTCAGTCAGAGGCTAGAGATGAGCTGGGGCTCATACCCAGAGGAGCTGTAGCTTGCAAGGTACTGATCGTGTAAAGAACCTAGGCACATGGTTGCCTTCAAACAACTGGCTTCCCTATAGAAGCCAGGGGGCTTCACACCTTGCAGGCCTGATCTCCAGATGCCTAGGATCCCAGGATGCCCTTTCTGCAGATGCTCTCTTAAGGCAAAGCCTTAGTGACCTTCAGTTTATTAGCAGCTTGCACTACCCAGCCACTGTGTCATATTTTTTAGTTTATCATAAATATATAGGTGGGATTTAAAAAAAAAAGGACTTGGCACTGATCTAACTGATCCTAGTGAAGTCACTAGAAAAAATCCCAGGGCTCTCAATGGGAGGGAAATTTTGGGGTAGTGCTGAGCAATCTCACTGTATGTATATCCTTTAATAATCTCTTCCCAGATGAACTGTGCCCCAGGCACCCAGCAATAGTCATTGGTAACAATGAGGGTTTGGATTTTCTGGTCTGATTGCAGAGTTGCACCATTTTCTTTTCTCTGCTCTTACCTGACTCTCTGTTGATGCCTGCTGTTAAGAGGAAAACTTGCTTCTGTTCCACAGGTAGTGTTTGTGGGGATGATGTCCAGCTCCACGCTCTGGGGGAACATGTCAGACCAGTACGGCAGAAAAACAGTAAGCCTCCCCCTTTTACCAGAGTATATTCTGTCATACTGTTGTTTTAGGACACTGCTTGAGTCCATACCACGCTTCCCTACAGGGTTGCAGTAAATAAGAGTGAGAAAAATAGAGACTAGTGAAGTGGAGCTGTCCGGGCATGTTGTAAAGTGATGCATATTTTTTTTCCATGAGAGTCCCTATGAAATTCTGGGCACTGGTACAGCAAGGCACTTAAGCACGTCGTGACTGCCTGTGTTGCACACACACAATATGTATTTGTTTGTGCAAACCACAGGTATTGCAACTTGGTGTAGACCACCTGCATGCCACAATCCCAAGTGCAGCTCTCCAGTGCCCTTTGACAGATTTTGGCCTGGCTTTGGGAAACACGTGGTTCCCAAGCTTAGAGGACTGTTCTTCTTGGATTTTATAGGCTGTCTGAGCTGCGAACTCTACATTTCAGTCTTTATCTCATTAACTTATGTTACCGCATAATCCTTTTTCTGCTTGTTGGTTAAATACAGGGCCTGAAGATCAGTGTGTTATGGACCCTGTATTATGGGATTCTCAGTGGTTTTGCACCAGTGTACAGCTGGATCCTTGTGCTCAGGGGACTGGTGGGCTTTGGGATTGGAGGAGTGCCTCAGTCGTAAGTAAATATTCATGTTTTAAAATTTTCTTTTCCAGTTTTTTCTGTGTTGAAAGAGATGCTGACATAGAATTCTGTCTGTTGCTCTATTAATGCCCTCTGAAGCTACGTTCATCAAAGGATATTGGTCCCGATATATTAAAATGAACAAAGGTTTTTGAAATATCATATTTCTTTGAGGAGGTAACTAAACTCCCCAGGGACTTGTACCTCCTTCTTTATGAATAAACTGGGCCCCTGAATTCAATGTGATCAGGAGGGTTACAGGCTCCCCCTATTATTAGGTTTCCCTCTGTTAAATTAACATGCCACTGTGATTCAGCCTGTGCATCTAGAGCAGGAGGCTCTGATACGGTCTGTAGGTTTAATTGGCACTTACTTTGCTGCTCTAACCGGGAGTGATAATCTCTGGAAATCTGTTGACCACACACAGACGGAGCAGAATGAGCAGGATCCTTCTCTATCCCTCCAAGTATCTGGGACATGGGGTGAAGGTAGAAAGCGCAAGCACTCCACCATTACAACAGCAGAAAGGGGAGAATAGACAGTGTGAAACTTTCAGCATGGCATAATATAGCCTGGGAGCAATGCATTGCCATTGCATTTCCATATTCTTTCCTAGAGAGGAGTGTATAAATGATGACACTGAGTTGTGACAATACCATATCAGAATATCAAAGCTAAAAATCAGAGGAAGGGCTGAGCCACAACCCCCTTGTGTTCTGTGAACCTTCAGATTTCTACCCAGTTCCAAGCCTCATCTGTGAAATGGGTACAGAGTGGCACTCTAGATCCAGAGGGTCTCAGACCTAGAATGGTTTGTCTGTTTCCATGGGTTAGGCTCACCCTGGGCCGAACAAAGAAGCGAGACGACATTCCCTGATGTGACTGAATTCACGGGAATCGCCTGGCTGCAGGCTTTTCATTGTAAATGGAAAGGGAGGAGCAGAGCCATGCACTCTCCCCTCAGCCATTTATTTTAATGAATAATTGATGCTGTGCCCTACTGAGGTGCGATTTCAGTACAAGAGGAGCCCGACTCTGATTGATGGCTCTTGGACTTGTTTGTGAGGCAAGCCAATATCCTGTCCTGGCTTGCGGTGTTTCTAGTGCTGTTCCCACAAATCCAGATAAAGGGGCCTCAGCTCTGGTACTATTATTAATTTGCTTTCATTGCTGTCCACGAACACTAGATGTGAAGGCAATAGGTGCCTATGCTGGGAAAGCCATCAGTCTGTTGTGTACTTATTGACTGCGAGCTGGATCTTGCCATGCAGTTCCCAAGGAGCATTACTAGCAGGGGGCAGGAGAACAATTGAAGCAAAGCATGAGAATTGTTAATATTTTGAACTGTAATCATTTATTGATTTTTATTTCACTGCACAGGTATGCCTAGGTTCTTGCATTTTACAGAGAGGCTACCTGTTTTATCCAGGTACTCAAAGAAAGCTAGTTACAGAGTTAGGAATGGTTTCTTTATCCTTAAAGAATGGGCCCATTGGCAAAAAGATAAATATATGTAAGACAGCAGAAAGAACCACCTTGTTATTATTCTTGAGCAGGCTATAGCCTTTTCCTTTTAGTGGTGGAATTTCTGTAGAGTCATTTAGCTATCTTTGTAATTGTATTATTTCGTTTTGTAATGGACTTGGGGACAGAGTTTTTATGAGAGATGCTATTTAAAATAAAGTACTGTGTGATGGAAACCTATTACTGCAGAAACCCCTTTAGCTGCACTTGAGAACCTGTGGCTTCCCTTGAGAATCATCCATGCAATATTGTGTGATGCTGGATAAGATTATTCATGTTGACAGCATCCTCAGATACCAAAGCTGGAGGTGCAGAACACTCCTGTAAAAGAAAGGCAACAGCCTACATGCAAAAGCAATCACTTTCTGTCCTCTGGTGCCATATATATGTGGGAATTTTCTGCATCCCATTACATTCAGCTCCATTTCTCCCTGTTTTTAATTGCTGATTTAATGTGATGCTATTTGCAACTCTATCCCCCAATGAGCTGAGCTCTGGGAAGCTGCTCAGAACTTACTCTGGCATTCCTGACATCAGCGAGAGTTTTGCCACGGACTTCAAAGGCAGCATCATTTGGCCCTTAAGGAGTATCGAAAGCAGAAACAGGACAAGTGGATGGAATACAAATACAGCAGGAGCACAAAAGTCCTATCAGATGGTTTGACACAGATGAAAAAATATCTTTGATTGGCCAGTGTCCCTTGCGTTAATCCTCAGGAAACAGAGCAAATACTGCCCGTTGGCACAATGAGGGAACAAAGACTCCACAGGCAAGCTAGGATATTTCTAAAATTCCTGCTTAATAAAAGAATGCAAATGATTTTATATGAGCAATAACAATTGCAGCCTTGAAGTATCCATCTCTTGGAGGATGAAAACATAGAGTGGCCCAGTGCAAAATCCTTTTAGTTAGCTGTTACACCCAGGAGAGATACCTTCCCCCAAAGTTGTTCAGATTATGCACTGAATCCTGTGGACCACGCTGAAAATGGAGTTTGAGTGCCCTGGTTTTTGAGCAAATTCACACCAAAGGTTGATTGTGTTCACTATCTTGAGTATGAGGTTACAATGCTGCAGAAAGGAGCAGATCATATTTTCTGTTACATTGGCAAAATCCCTGCTGAAGTATATGGCATTGTTCTGGTGTAAGTGATATGAGAATCCGACCTGTGTCTATAGCACTGCTGGCTGTGTGGGTGGAGAAGGGGTTTTATGTTGTTACTATGGTGTTTGGCAGCTTTAATAGGAAATAAATTAAATGTCTCAATATACCTCTATGTGCTAACATGACTGTTTTCTCAATATTCCTTCTTTGCAGGGTAACTTTGTATGCTGAATTCCTTCCCATGAAAGCCAGAGCAAAATGCATTTTATTGATAGAGGTGAGCAGTGAGGTCATGTGTGCTTAGTCCATAAAGGCAGAGGCCTAAATTCTGCTTTCAGTTACATCTGTTCAATCCCACTGATTATTTCATAGTTTCATAGTTGGTAGGGTCGGAAGGGATCTGAGCAGATCATCAAGTCTGACCCCCTGCCGTGGGCGGGAAAGAATGCTGGGGTCAAACAACCCCGGCCAGGTGATTTGTCTAGCCTCCTTTTTGAAGACCCCCAGGGTAGGAGCGAGCACCACTTCCCTTGGAAGTTGGTTCCAGATCCTAGCCGCCCTGACAGTGAAGTAGCGTCTCCTGATGTCTAACCTGAATCTACTCTCGGTCAATTTATGGCCGTTATTCCTCGTTATTCCTTTATTTAAACATTTCACAACAAGGTAGAAAGAGTATGGGGCTGTATTCAGCTCTCTGAACTTAAACCAAAACTATACAAAAGTCAGTGAGAGCAGAACTTGGCCCATTAATTGTCAACGTGTAAAAACAAAAATGTGTGGTTGCTTCATGGATGATTGAAGCCAGCCAAGTGTTACTGTGAAGGGGAGAGCTGTGCTGTTACTTGCTCCGTACTCAACAGGCTGTCCCAGTGAAATCCTGTCTTCCCTGAATTCAAATCCCCTTGAAAATACAAAATGAATCGTCTCAGAGAATTTCAGCCTGAGGTTCTCAGAGAATAGCCTAGAATTAATTTCAAGTAATCAGAGAGCAGTAGACAAATTACTCTCATAGTTTCTCTCTTGACTTAGCTAGCCCTGGTGTCCATGTGATTCCCCCAGAAAGATCAGAAGTTCATTCTAAGGGTTGAATAAAGAGTCAACAGGAAACTAGTTTGAACTTCTAAGTGGAAGGAGAGAAAATGTTGGACTGGCCTGGGTGGGATCTCTGATAGTGTGCCAGCTCCAGGCTCCCTAGTAAGAGGCTCAATTCCATCTTCCAGATGCAGACCAAGCGCTCACCTGTTGGTTTTTATTGTTTATCCTGTATAAGGAGAGCAGGACGGAGCTCTGATTGCACTATAAGTCATAGGAATTGCACATTTTAATGATCTTTATTTCCTTAAGCTCTTCTATCCTGCCAAGGCAGGGAGAACCCAGAATCCTGGTTTAATCATCTGAATCTTAAGGCATTTGTTCCTGATCTGATGAAACTGCATTCAGTGTAAAATACTGGAGTCCAAATTCAGTTAGTGGGATCAATGAGGCTGCATCTGTAAATCAGAGCTGAATTTGGCTTATGAACTGTCAATTAACTGTGACTCTTCATTACTTTCTGTAATTCTGCTCTAACAAATGGAATCAGCTGAGTGACCTTGTTGAAGGTGAAATATAACTGTAGGAAACCTCCACTATGAGTAACAAAGAATGTCCCTTCACATGGAAGCCATTAGGGAGGGTTTAGGTGTTTTAAGTAAAGCTTTCTAGAAAATGCTGGAGCTAAGTTTTCAGAACTGAGTGTTTGCAGCTCAAGGAAAATCCCTTTCATAAACATCTGGATTTTTCTTTGCATTCATATTCATTCGTCCCAGGTATTGTCTCACTGTCACTCCTGCATTGCACTCTTTGGAACAGCAGGAGGAAGAATACATTCACAGAGATGCTTCTTCTCTGTTTGGTTCCCATTCTGTAATCATGCAGCCCCATATTGTCTCATCCCTTTTGTGACTATTTCCTTTATTGCTTTGGCAGGTCTTTTGGGCCCTTGGAACTGTCTTTGAAGTCCTCCTTGCTGTGTTTGTGATGCCCACCCTTGGCTGGCGCTGGCTGCTCATTCTTTCTGCTCTCCCACTCTTGCTGTTCGCCATCTTATGTTTTGTAGGTATTCTTTACAAGATAAATGTGCAGTAAATTTAACAAGCCACTCTAAAAATGCAGTCCAACTGAATTGAATCATGACAGCGTTGAGTATCCTGATGGCACTCTGTTAGTACATCTGAAATAATGATAAAAATGCTGCTTTTTCAACAGGGAGCTAGTAACAGCCTTCCCAGTAAGGTTATGAGGTAATGCTTGTTACCTGATATCTTCCTGGACAGCGATAATGGTTGGGGTTTTGTGAAACCACATTCAGAATGGGACTCCTCTTCCCAGCATCCTGCTCCAGTTTCAGTTGAATTCAGTGGAATCAACCTTTTACTCTTATTAAAATCAATTGCTGCTTTTCTGGTTCTTCTCAGGACTCAAATAATTTAACTGCAAGTCAGAAATTCTGTTTAATCTGTTGTTCATTAAAATGCGCCTTCAGCGTTCATGTGATTGCTTCATACAACATCTCTACAGCTCAAACTCTATCAAATTCATGTAATTGGTGTTCACCTGAGCTGCTGTATGCTGTTAGGTAAATATATATGTCAAGGCATCTACACATGCATATTAATGCACTTCAATAAACACCGGTGCTTATCTTTTATCGCACTGGAGTTTATTGCTTCTGGGCATGTATTTACACATGTGCCTGGGATTGCACCATGTTGAGCTGGGTTGGAGCAACCTTGGCTGGCAGAAGGCTCTGGGGGGTGGCAGCCTACCAGCCCAGGGCTGCTCCCCCCAACTCAACATGCTGCGGACAGGCTGGCTGGGGTATGAGGCTGCTTCAGTGCAGAGCTAGCTGGTAGGCAGCCCCCACACTGAAGCACCCTCGTGCCCCAGCTAGCCGGGGCAGTATCTACACATGTGCTGCTGCAGAGTGTTTTACAAGTACTATCCTGCTGTGGAGTAAATTAGTTTGCTCTAGCCTAATAGGGGTGCACATGTAGATGCCAAGAAATTTACTGCAAGCTAATTAGTCAACTGTGCAGTAAACATCTTATGTAGACGTGTCCTACTGAAACACAACTTAAAAAGAGTTGTCTAAGCTGTGTTTATGTCCTGTTTGGGCATAACTGATTGTTTGGTATTTTTCCTTAGCTACTGCCATTGTTTTTC